CTAAAAAAAAAAAAAAAAAAAAAAAAGAATAAGATGCAGGGAGAAATAGCAGCTGTTGAGTTGAGGGTGCAGCTCTCCTCTGCTTATTAGTCAAATAGACCACTGCGTGCCCAGAGATCTCACAGGCAAATGCTCACGAAAGGGAAAGCACTGGGCAGAGACACCGATAACACAGAAACTGAAAAAACCAAAAACTGTGAGTCAACCTTCCTAATACCAACATAGATTTTAAAACTTTATCATACAGGCAAAAATACAGAGGTTTGAAAATACACTTTTTTGATGAGGCTGTGGGGAAACAGACACGCTCATATACTGCTGGTGGGAGTGTAAATTGTTACAATCGGTGTAGAGAGTAATCTGGCAATATCTATCAAAGTTACAAATGCATCCGACTTAGCAATTCCACATCTAGGAATTTATCCTACAAATATGCTAATATATGCAAATGAGATCCACAAAGGGCTGTTTATCGTTTATAATAGCAAAAGATTAGAAACTCATGTGCCCATCAGGAGGGAGCTGTTTCATAAATGGGATACATCCACACGAAGGAATGCTATGGAAGCGAAGAGGGAAGCTCTGTGCTGATGGTAAAAAGCAAAAGGTGCAGAATAAATCGTGAGTGGAAGAAGCAAGGTGAGGAACGGTGTGTACGATGGGCGTTTGTGTAAAATGTGCCAAAGGGAATATGAAAGTTTGCATTTGCTGAAACATGCAAAAAATAAACTCTGGTGTGATATACAGAATCACCATGAGCAGTGATCATGGAGTGGGGGACCGGACAAGGGACAAAGGTGGGAGGAAGCCTTTTCACTATATTCTTTTTTTAAAAAGCACAGTTAAAACACCACTACACACACACACACACACACACACACACACACACACACGCACGCGCGCGCGCGTGGCAAGAATGGCCTTTTTTTCCCTCACCTGTTCAAAATTAAGAAATTATTTATGCATGGAAGAGATTCGAGTAAAGCACACCAAAATGTAAACAAGGGCTAACTCTAGGTTCTGGGAGTAGGGGACATTATTCTTTTTTTTCTAAATTTTAGAAATTGACAGGTATACTTCTGGAATCATAAAACAATCCAATAAATATTTTCAATGTTAAAAAAAAAAGTTCATGGAATGGCCTCTGAATTCTACAAATCCTCTTCCCTGAGTAAATGGTCTTGACAACTTTTATACCATCTCAGCCTTTCCGGATATTTAATCTCTTAAACTTTAATCTCTTTAAACTGCTCTCCATGGAGAAATCCTTTGGCCAATACTCTGCTACCTTATCATCATTATCATCAAATATTCATCGACTGCTTCTTTAGAAATAGAATCCAATTTTTGGACAGGCACATGATCAACTGGCTGAAAGACTCCATTCTCCAGCCTTCTTTGCTGTTGGGTCTGCAAGTTCTGGGCAATGAGATGTAAGTAGAAGGGGAGTGGGACTTTCAGAAGTCTTCTATTTTTAAAGGGGAACGGTATGCTTTCCTCCCCTTTCTCTGTTTGCTGCCTGGAACATGGAAGTGATGACTGGAGCTCCAGCAGCCACTGTGTAAGACAGGGCCATTCCTTAGAGATACTGGAGCAGAGGGCTGGAAGAAACCCAGGTCAGTGGAGACTGGTGGAGCCACTATAAACATAACACGGTTGTACTGAATCAGGACCTACTTATGTGACAAGACAAAACCTTGCATGTTTAAGCCTTACGTCTCAGATCTTGTTACCTGCAACTGAATGAAATTCTAACTGATACAAAGCACAAAGGGAAGATAAAGAAATAAAAAGGCCATTTCTTCTTTCCAGGAGTTTACAGTTATTTGTTTTATTAGTCTACATATAGTTATAAAGAATAACATTAAGCAGAGCCACAGAGAAGTACACATACGCTGTCACATTTAAGACAGGAGAGAGCATACCCCCAACCTACAGAAAACAAAAGAGGCTGTTGCTCCCCGTAGGATGTACCTTCTGTAAGGAGGAAGAGTAGTGATCCTGAGAAGAGCTCAGGTGTAGGAAAAAGTTGGTCCTGTTGTCTAGCTAAAACACTATGCCTAGGGCCTCCTTTGTGCAAAGTACAGTGTTCCAGGGTGACAGGATTGCTCTCAGGGCTCCAGAAGCCCCCATGTAGACTGTGAGACAGGGAAAGAAGGAAGCGCAGAGGGTTAGGGATCCTGCTCTCTCCCTTGCTCCAATTTCAGCTTTCCAATTTCTTCTTTAAAATGACTAAGCACAGAACAACTAAATAACATTGTCCATTTAAAGAGCACGATTTGGGCAAAGACTTTCTTAGGTACAAAGCAGTACTAGTCTCGTGACTTCTTAGCAAACACATTTCTTAGTTTTCCCAAGTAGGGTTTTAATCATGAGAACTTCTGGCTCCTTCCTCACTTAGTTTGGATTTTTTTCTGCCCCAAATCATGTCACTGAAATCTGACTGAAATGAATAGCTTTTGGCAGTAGCTTCTTAGATGAGGATCCTCTAACTGTCATGGAATTTTCTATTCAGCCAGAAGCTACCCACTTCTCAGCAAAGGACCATAGAAGGTGGTGATGGGGAGACAGATGTCTTGCCCTAGTGCCCTGCTCACAAGTTTTCCCCACATGTTAAAAAGGAACAGAGGGGAGATTAGTCGTGTAGTTTGTCTACGTAAGAGTGTTAACCAGAGTAATTTAATTTTCCTAATCAGACATTCACTGTCATCTAGATGACATCTTTCAGGGGGGAAGGAGAGGAATTAAAAACACAGACAAATTTATCCTTATTTCTCGCTTATACCACATCCAGTGTGTGCTGGCAGTAAGGGGGTCTGTGCCCTACGGTGCAGGGCCTACACAATCATTCAGACACCCAGGTTCCTGTTATTGAGTAGCCCCACCAGTCCCTAGGGCACTGCAATCCCACACTGAAGCCTTTGCATCTCATCAGCAAAGGATGAAAGAGAGAGAGTATGGAGGATTTCCAGAGAGATTTTATGGGCTCAGCCTGAAAGTGATCTGTATTACTTCTGCCCATTGTCCATTGGCCAGAATTAGTCACAAACCTACATTTACCTGCAAGAGAATTTGGAAAATGTGGTCTAACTATGCCAGAAGGAAAAGGAAATGGAGTTTGGGGAACATGTATAGCATCGTCTCTGCCACAGACACACCATAAAGTCTGGATTGAAACATTAATATAACTATTTCCTTAATAACTGGCAGGTTGCTTGTTGTAGGCAAAGGATT